GGGGGGGGCAGAGTGGGGGTGAAGAGACACGGTGTCTGCAGAGGCATCGGGTGGCTTCTTGGTGGGTATGTGGCGTTAGGGTTTTTGTTCTTTTTACAAGGTTTTTGTTGTGCTGAAACATACTTGAACCGGCCATTTAGCCGCAAATTTCCAGCCCGCTGGGGCGCCTCCAGGGAAGTCTCGCTCCCGGCCCCTCCCCCACACAGGCGCGCCCCCTCCTTTCCAGCGGCGACGGGTTGCTCTGTGCCCTGTTCTTCTGGATTGCTCGCAGGCACTGGAGCAAAGGCTGGCGCGTATCCGTGTTCTCTTCGTCTAAGTCGCGGTGAAATGCGCTCCCTGCTACGTTTACCTTCGCGGCCAGATTCGAGCGCACAGCCAGCAGCGCCCCTCCGCGCAGGGCTCCCCCGCGAAGCCGCTGCTGCCCGTCAGGGTGACGCCCTGTCCTCCTCCCGCAGCCTGTCGGGATGATTTAGACGGCGCTGACTCCCTCGGATGCGCGGGACGCCGCCGTGCGTATCTTTTCGTGACCGCCGGCTTCTTTCACTCGCGCAGAGTCTGGGCTTCAGCCATGTGGCTCTGTCAGCATTCCAGGGCTGGCGAACACTGGGTTGTCTGGATAGATCACATTTTGTCTGTTTTCTTCCACGTTTTGGCTATTATAAATAATGCTGCTTTGCACGTGGGTACGCACACACATGCCTCTTGAGGCTCTGCTTTCAACTCTTGAGAATCCAGGGGTCTTCTTTAAGAAAAGCTGCTTGAGCGTGCTTGCTGCGTGAGAGGCCTTGACGCTGGGCCGCGTGATGGCGCGCACGGGGAAGTCAGCTGGAGAGTAGAGACCTTGAGGTGGGCGAGGTGCGCCCTGCCGGGGAAGGCGGTGCAGACGCAGGCACATCCCTGCGCCGAGGGAGGCTGGGAGGGCGGCCGGGAGGGCGGCGGGGAGGCCGCGGTCACCACGGGCAGCAGCCTCGGTGCCGCTGCAAGGAGTGGACGGTCTGGTCATGCTCCTGACACGGTGAGCCTGGAGAGCAAGTGCTACAGACCCGCTGACCGGAGGGAGCCGAGTCAGCCACACCACCCTTAGCGTGGGAGGTAGAAGGGTGGTGGAGGGGCTGTGGGGGAGAGGGAGAGGGAGGTGTGTGCTGCCTGTGGGGCGCGCAGGTTGGCAAAATGAAAAGCTGCTGGAGACCCGCTGCCCCAGCGCGCACTCACCACGCTGCTGCCCACGTGGGCCTGGGCAGGGTGGATTTTAGGTTACTGTTTTTGACTGTAGCAGGAGAAGGTGCAGGAAGGTGCGGCTTCCTGCCGGCTCCTGCTTCCCCGGAGGCTCCCGGCCGGCCGGGTGGGCAGGGTGGGCACGTCAGGAGGGTCTGGCAAAGTGAAGCCTGGTCATTTTTTCATTTGGAAAAGAAGCGAAGCCGCCTAAGCATAGAGGAGAGCAGTGTCTTGAAGGTCAGGTTTATGGGCTCTGGCCGGCTTTGACTTGCCCAGGGGATGATGACGCCCTGCAGGCACACAAGCTGGCGGTGGCAGTGGGCCGCGGGCGGCGAAGCTGTGTGCGCCTCCTGGTCCTGGCTCTCCAGGCCCTAGCACTGGCCAGGCCCCTCCTGCCTTCCCGCCCACACTGCCGTTCTCCGAGCCCCGACTCCTGGCAGTGGGCTTTACCCTGCCCTCAAGTGGTTACATTTTTGCTCCTCTTTCCTTTCTCTTTTGATTACTGGGGCCTCCCACAAGTAAAATCTTGGACATAAACATTGGTAAAATAAATGCACATAAATGAAACCCTGGAGCTGCTGCAAGAGTCTGGTGGGGTGTGATGAGGTCTGTGCCCGCTCCCCGCTCAGCCCTACCTAGATACCTGTAGACTTTAGACATTTCCAGAATATTCTTTGAAAACTACAGCTGCAGGGCGATAGTAGGAAATCACCTTTATAAACTTTTTGTTTGCAAATTGATATAATTTATGTATAGTAAATTCACCCTTTTAGTAGCTACCTTAAGTTTTGTCAAACTGAGACAGGTGTGTGATCATCCTAGAAAAATTGGAACATTTCTCAAATTTGATGATGATAAGCTACAAAATGGAATTTTTTTTAAAACATTTATTTATTTATTCACACAGAACTGGGGCATAAGCCAGAGGTGCAGAGGCGGTGAGAGGCTTCACCAGAGACAGAGTGGGGAGCAGAACAGGCAGATGGATTAAGTCCACTGCTGAGGGGAGCAGCGGGCGGGTCAGGAGAGGTCCGCTGTGCCCTGTGGGTCAGCTCTGGGCCGGGGATCGGACCCGCACTGAAGCAGCGGTGCGCCACCAGGGAGGGCCCTTCCTTGTGTTTTTAAGGCAGATTACTCCGCCAGCCTCAGTGAAGGTTCCTCTGGATTTTATTCCTACAGGCTCATCAGATCCAGGAAATGTTTCCCCAGGTTCCATACCACCTGGTGCTGCAGGATCTCCAGCTGACGCGCTCCGTTGAAATAACCACAGACAACATTTTAGAGGGACGGATTCAGGTGCCCTTTCCCACACAGGTAAACTGGGGTTTTCAGAAGCACAAGTGGGTTCTGTCTGCACACAGATTTACTACTGCTCTAGAATAACGTTTTTAGTTATTTACAACTTGGTGTTTATAACTTGGTGGAGGTTTTCTGTGAATTCCTTAACTTTGCAAATCATGACTGAGAACAGACCCACCAAGGAGACTCAGCTTATACAGGGACATATGTACTTGGGTAAATTTTTCTACAAGTGAACACCAGCCTGCATCTTGCCAGTTTAAGGTAACCCTTGGGTAGAGCTTAAGGGCTGTCAGCCCTCTTCCACAGAGGAAACTTCAGACTCTGTGAACGACACCTCCTCTGCTGTATCTCTCAGCTGTGTGAGGACTGGAGCAGCTGTTGACAATGTGGAAATGAGTCACGGCCCCTGGTGGGTACAAGGACTAGCAGGTCTCAGAGGCAAGCTTCCTGGCGGGCCCAGGGGCCAGGTGCTTGGCAAGGATTCATCTACCAAGAAAGCATATGCACTTCATTATGCAAAAACACACAAAAACCCATTTATAAAAGTGTAGAACTTGGGATCTTTTATTTATTTATTTATTTATTTATACATACATACATACATACAGAACTGGGGTACAGGCCAGAGATGCGGAGGGTAAGAGGATTGACCAGGGACAGAGTGGGGAGCAGAACAGGCAGATGGACGAAGTACACTGCTGAGGGGAGCAGCGGGCGGGTCAGGAGAGGTCTGCCGCGCCATGTGGTCACCTCCGGGGCAGGCGGGGATCGAACTCATGCGGAAGTGGCTTAAGCTTCTTAGCGCAGTGCCCTAACCCGCTGCGCCCCCAGGGAGGGCCAAAACTTGGGATCTTTGAGGGAGAACGAGCCCAGGTTCTGGAGTCAGGGACCGAGATTCTGGAAGTGACCCCTCATCCGCATCTCGGGACCTGGCTGTGACTGTGGGTTCTCCGGCGCAGGACTGTGCGAAAGCAAGTAGCCACCTCTGGAGGTGTTCCAGGAAGCACCGGGGCCGTGGGGCGGAGCAGTGGGGCGACCAGTTTGTTACTGGCAAGCGCTGGGGGCTGCGGGAGCCCGAGCCCCCGGGGCCGCTGGGCCCTGCACAGAGAGCGCAGCTCTGCTCTGGGCGGTCCCGAGTGGGCGCTCACACACCAGCTCCATTCAGCTGTCGGGCGGCTCCGGGGCCGGCGGGCGTGGGGTACCTCTGGTGGGGTACCTCTGGCGGGCGCAGGGGTACCTCTGGTGGATGCTGAGGGCCACTTAGCCCGCGGACGGCACGCAGGCCGCCGCCCTGCTCCAGCCGCCGCCTCTGTCTGCCTTTTCAATGGCAGTGCTTCTGTTGAGCCGCAGCGTCGGCCCTCGTGCCCTCTGGCCACAGGTGCGCTGGTCTGTGGGTGGGGGACAGCTGTGTGCTCCCAGGGTGCTGTTTCTCTTTCAGCGGTCAGATGGCGTTAGGCCTGCCCTGAACAGCCCTGTGGAAAGGCCCGGCGGGGGCCAGGAGGAAGAGGAAGCCCCTGTGCAGGTAGAGTCACACACCGGAGAGCCAGCGTGTGGGCTGAGGGGAACGGCTGCCCGGAGCCTGGCCCAGGCCTGGTCTGGTGGGGGTTGGGGGGGTGCTCAGGGCAAGCGCTGGAGGTGACCGGCAGGCTGTGCCCTGCTGCCCCAGGCCGGGACTGCACTCAGGAGAAAGGTGCCACTCGGAAGCCGGTGGGGTGGGGGGGATGGACGTGCTCAGCTGCCCACTGGCTTATTTAACTTCCCAGCTTAGCATTCCTGGGCATTTTACGAAAGTGAGTGGAGGGGCTGAGGGAGGGTGGCTCTCCCAGAGCCAGGTCTGCTTAGATTCCGAGGGCGGCTGCGTCTCCCGGAGGCTCTTTTCTGTCTGGTTTCAGGCCAGGCTTCCCTGGCTCTTGGCTCGCACCTGAGGGTCCGATTTGCTTTCCTTCTCTGTAATTTCTGCTTACTTAGTCAATTACCACACTTGCCAAAATCTTTCTTGAGAGGTTGGGATAAAACCAAACCCAAGCGCGGGGCTGGGGCTGGGGCCCTTCTCCAGCACTGCTGGTCCGGGCTGCTGAGCTGCCCGTAGTTTTCCCTGCAAATGAATGAAAACCCGAAGCCGCCCAGACCTGAGGCCTCAGCCCAGGCCCAGGGGTGTGTGGCCTCTGCTGCCCTGGCTTCTGGGCGGGAGGGGCTCCTTTTCACATTTCCCACTTTTCGCCAGCTGACTTAGCTTAGATTTGCCCACTAGATCCGTTTGGGGGCGTTTGTGGATCTATCCTTTTCCCCAACTTTCACTTCTGAGTTAGTGTGAAGATTAGGGAATTTCCTCCCGGGCATAGTAGAGGCGAAGTATTTCACAAGGAAGCTCAACCTGTAACGATTTGACCATTCGGGCAGTAAATAGCCCTGGGGCAACAAGTTAACAAAACCCTGCATTTACTGGCTACTTAGTTGCCCTTGGCGGGGCAGCCCGCAGGGTTTAGCTTGGAGGCCTGAGGGGATCCTCTAATTTCTCCCTTTTCCTCCTCTACTGGCCCTCTCCTGGGTGGTGATGAGGAGGCCAAGTGACCGGCGAGCCTGTGTGTCCTGGCACTGGGCCCCTTCTGGGACCAGAGTCCTCGGCGCCCGCCCTTTGCTGGCTGGCTGTGTGCCCCCCGGCTCCCTCCCTCCCTCTGTCTGCAGCGCGAACAGAGGGGAGGTGGCCAAGGCCTGGGCCTTGTCTTGGCCTCTGGAGTTTCAGCTAAAGCGGAGGCCCCTGTTTGAAATACCCCGCCACACAAGGAATGGGGTGATTTTATGTCTGTTCTTAAAAAGATCCTTAGGCTTCACTCTCTTTACCTGCTGCACTCTGTTGTCAAACGAGGGCATAACATTTGTGCACATGTAAGCTGCACTATAAGTGACGCGAGAAGACTTGTTTCGGTGCTAAAGCAGCCAGTAGGCCTGAACGGGAAACCCCAGAATGCAGGCCCGCGGTCACCTTTGTTACTGTTTGCCAAGGGACAGTTTCAGGGCGCCCTGTCTCCACGGCCACTGCTGCCGGCGGGCAGCCTCTGCTGCGGCTCGGCTCTCGGTGGCCCCCTGGCCAGCTGCGCCCGCCGGGCTCCAGGGGCCCTCTTCCGCCCCGACTCGCGTGTGGGGCCCTGCTCAGGCGCCCTGTGG